ATCAATTCCGAACTAAACACAAGGTACACCAATAACTTGAGGCACATTTGCAACCCTGTCATTCCCTATTAACAGCTCAATAACATATTCATTTCTTCATCAATCACTTTGAGCCTCGTCTAATGATTGACCTTATTTATTCAACCCACATTCACTTAACCCTGGGATGGGAAGGTGAGCAATTTGTGTAACAGTCAGAAAGCAAGTTCAAATTAAAAAAGGGAAAAGAATAAGTAAATAAATAGAAAAAAAAAACAATGTCTAAAGGCAAGTGTCCCAATGTCTTTGATATGAACATGTCTCAAATTGCGTCTCTCATCGAGTGCTTGGTACAGTGCGTGAGAAATATGAATGCTAAGTGAGTGATGGACCGCATGATCTGAGATTGCCTACATTGATTCACAAGAATGAAAAAAAAATGTATGAAAAATAAAACTTGCAAAGTCTAATACATAATTGCATATCTTGGGGGCTTCTCTCGGGTCTTGAGCCTTTTATCCCTTTCTTCCTTAAACCTTCAGCTTAATAACATTACAACCCTTGAAAGACCTCTTTGAGGTGTGCACACACTTGTGCAAAGTTCGGTTAGAGCTACGTTTGGCCTGATTCCTAACGGATACGTATGCAACCTCACATCGAGGTGCGGCCACATTCATATGCTTGATTGAGTCAAAGAATATCCAATGCTTAATCCTATGACCCTATCCATCTAGAGCTAGACATGGGGGCTTGATCCCACATCATTTAGCCTACCCAGCCTAAAGAGTCACCATTTTGACTCTTCTCACATAAATTTCCATCACCATAGCCTTTGCAGCCAACCTTAGTATCACATTCACACACTTCACTCACACATCCATATCCATATCAATCATCCTTCCCTTTAAGAGCCCTTATCATGAAATCTTGTTTCAACACTGTGCATGATTCATCATATTTAAAGACAACATTCATTAGAAGAAACATTGTATACTTGCTTAGCTTCCTGACCTGAGCAATATTCATTGTTTCATGCATCGCATAATGTGCTGAGAAACATTTATATATCCATGATTTTTAATCATACAAAGCATATCGTGCTTAGCTCCTTGACCTAAGCAACGTTCATTATGCAATAATCACTTCATCTGTATACGTGCTTAGCTTCCAGACCGAAGTGACGTTCAAGATCGTTTCTTTACACCATATATGATGCTTAGCTCCATGACCTAAGTTCATTCATCGTGTCACATGATGTAATTGTCCTTAGCCTCCTGGCCTAAGGACATGCATCATGCATACATTACTTTCAAGAAAAGCAATTCAATCCATGCAATTCATTTTGTCTTGCTCAACGAGGAAGTTCAAAACTTCTTTCTTTTTTTTAGCGTCTTTTCTTTTGGGGAAGTTTACAAAAACTTTTTCAAAATTTTCTCATCGAGAGAAGTTCGAAAATAAAAGTTCAGTTTTCACATCTTTCTTTTTCGGGAGAAAGTCAGTACCCTCCACTCATGACAAAAATTGACGGAAAATTTTTGCTTTTGCATCTTCGTTTGCTTGTGTCTGCACACACACATATACACACACACACACACTCACAAGTCATACACATGTCATGTCACATCAAGTCAAACTTGTTCAAGTCAGTGGTTAAGTCAATCACAATATATACGAGTCCATTGGCAAATTTATTTTTGCAGGTCTCTTCTACAGCCCACGTTCGGGGACAAGCAAACCAACTACAACCCACATCCGGGGACAAGCGGACCATCTACAGCCCACGTCCGGGGACAAGCGAACCAACTACAACCCACGTCCGGGGACAAGCGGACCATCTACAGCCCACGTACGGGGACAAGCGGACCATCTACAACCCACGTCCGGGGACAAGCGGACCATCTACAGCCCACGTCCGGGAATAAACGGACCATCTACACGTCCGGGGACAAGCGGACCATCTACAGCCCACGTTCGGGGACAAGCGACCAACCACAACCCACGTCCGGGGACAAGCGGACCATCTACAACCCACGTTCGGGGACAATCGAACCACCATCATTTCATGACGCAAGGTTCTCGATACACAGAGACTTGCAATCTCATCATCTCTCGACTTTCCTCAAGCATGGAAAGTATAATCCGGTGGATTTCTTCAAGCATAGAAAATCGCCAAATTCCTTTGTCGGCTTTCCTCAAGCATGGAAAGCATTATCGGTGAATTTCTTCAAGCATAGAAAAACACCAAAATCATATGTCGACTTTCCTCAAGCATGGAAAGTGTCATCCGGTAGGTTTCTTCAGGCTTAAAAAGCTACCAAACTCATCTGTCGGCTTTCCTCAAGCATGGAAAGCATTTCAACAAACGTCATTCGGTGTATTCCTTCAAGCATAGGAAGCTACCAAGCTCATTTGCCACCGATACACTGGTGTTAGATAAGCATTCTATCCCTTTACTCTTTTATCTATGGAATTAACATTTTTTGCAGGTATCGGCGTATACAGAGTGATTTAGGATCGCAGAACGTCTTAAATCATTCTCTATCCCTATCGACTACTTTGACTATCGTTTTTGAAACTGACGTTTCTACAAACTCAGTCAAAGTGGGGGCTTCTGTAGACACCTAAAAATGTCCCCCCAACACCAAACCCGATGATGAACAACCTTTCACCGCCATTATTGGTCAGGTTGAGTATTTAATCTTGGAGTGCTTAAATCCATATTTCCATTTCATAAACCAACCCAAATTCTAGCCCATTACCCCAAACCATAACTTATTTTCTTCTTTTCGTGCCTTTAAACCCAAAATAATTCATTTTGTGTCCTTTAAAATCATTCATTTCATGTCCTTTTTATAAAAACATTTAATCCAGTTTATTTTGGTCCATAATCTGGGTCCAATGATTGAATATTTTGATGGGTTTGAAAAGATATTTCCAACGATATATTATAAGCCCAAATTCGAGTTATAACGAATAAGTTATGGCCAAAATATTAAACCGAGCCCAAATCGAACCTAAGCCCACCTTACCTATGACCCAATGATCATGTGGAGGGTCCAAATTATTTAATCCAATTTCTAAACCAATTAGGATTAATTGGAAGCTTCTATAAGTTTCTAAAATATCTTAATTATCATTTTTAAAAAGATAAGATTAAAGAGTTTGAAATTGAAAGAACTTTTCTTTTTGAAAATCCTATTTCTATATGAATTGAAAGATGTTCAAAGATAGACAGATATTATTTTTGTGCCTCATATTTTTTATCCAAATTTTACATGGTTGGATAGCCCTTGAAATTATATTTCCAATGATATATTATAATATCAATTCCGAGCTATAACGGAAAAGATATGAATAAAATGTCAAACTCTATCCAAAACTGACACTATCTCACTATTTCGGCCATATCTTTTATTCTATAAAATATTTTAATCTGATTCTAATTGGGTTAGAAATTAGACTTCAATATCTTTCCAACAATATCTTATTCATCTTATTCCGATTTTTGGATCAAAAGATATGATAAAAACAAAAATCGCAAAAACTGCTGTCTATCGCAAGAGTTTTATCCGATTCGAATTCTTATCTTTTCTTGATTTGACCCCTCTTTTTTCCTTATAAATAGAGGTCATATCACCCCTTTTCCAATCATCAACAAGCTTGATCATTAAAATAATTCTCCTCTCCCTCTTTAGCCTAAACACTAGCCTCCCCATTCTTTCACTATTTCTTCCTTTAAGCACTCCAAGGAGTCCATACAATACCTGAAGTTCTATTCTTTAACCAAGGCATGATAGGTAGAATTAACTGAGGGTTTGGATCAAATCTAATCTTTATTTAATTTAATTTCCATTTACTTTATATTTTTATTGAAGTTACTAACAGTTTATTCATGATGTAGCAATTTAAAGGAACGTGCGGAATGTGAGTAATTAATTAATTTAATTACTTATTTTATTTTTAATATTGCTAGCATCATGATTAGGTTATTTTATATTGACCAACGCTATTATTGTTAAATTGCTTCCAATATTAATGCTTATTGCATGTTTAAAGGGAATATGTAATTGAAAATCACCCCTAATAAGATAATTTGGACAACCGGTTTAGGTTCCTTTTTAATCTTGTTATTAATTAAAGTGATTTTAGAATTATATGTTGCATTGATATTCAATCAATTTAGCTAATTAATAGTTTGGAGCAAATTGAATATTTTGTTTGTATGCCTTTGAGATCGCAGAAATCACTTTTCACTATAAGAATCGAGTAGAGGCCAATACGGGCGACTGTGACTCCATGACTCACTTCGTACCATCATCCCCGATCCTCCTTTCGTGGTTCCGAACCATATGGAGTTAGTAATCTCATGGATTATGAATGGGGTGTAAACTTCACGGGTCAATCGTTGTTGCCTTCGTTGTCCCTTTATTCGTGGTTGCCTTTTATGATCCGTGAACGGTTTACAAGTTCCTTAAAAACTTGTTGGCGGCTCCCTACTTTGCTTTGTCCCTAATCGTATTATGTCAATTCCCACTTCCTATGAGTGTCAAACATATTCACACATGCTTTTAACGTAGGCGCACTTCGAGCGACGCCTACAACGGCGCTGCCATAACTCCTAGGTCATCAAACCCTAGGAAAGGGCACACTTTTCTAGGACCCTATAGATAGGGAGATTCCCCCAATTATTAGGGCAACTTTAACGTCTTAATCATTAGGCATTTATTGCTCTCGAAAAACAGAGAACACCTGATCTCGGAATCCAAGAAGATACTTATTTTCCGCACGTTTTACTCCAAATCCATGCTAACTTAACCTTCGGAGGCGAACCTCCGACCATCCGGAGCTCGTTCATTTTACAGATACAGGCGTCCTTGTCGGATCCAGTCTTCGAGCCGTAACTCTCCCAAGGGACATAAAAGGATCCGAAACACATGACTCTATATATTCATTTTGTCTTTCATAATCGGTGATTGGAACTACATTTGGTAGAGAGGGCCCTTATTCGATCCCCCGCAACAACAATTGGGAGGGGATTGGAATCTAACCACCCAGAATTAATCCCCGAATCCGGATTAGCTCAAAAGGTGAACCCATAATTTTTGTCTTTCATAAATGGTGTGATAAACTTTTCGAGTATCATACAATGTAATGAGGTCACGTTAGGTTAGGTTAGGTTGGTCGGGTCAGGTCTATTTCAAATTGAGTTGTGCTAAATTATAATGTTCTTATAAGTTAAATTTAAATTGCCTCTTGTTTCTGTTAGCTTCAGGTCATTGTGGTCGGGTCCTTTTTTACACCTCCAACACATAATAAACTTTTTTGTTTTTTTTTTCTAAAAAAATGTAAAATGTACAGTACTCTTTCAAAATGTAGTACTTTGTATTGGCCTAAACCTCACCTTGCCTAGTTCGGAAACCCCTCCTTGCTTCTTGCTTTGGCCTTTGGCTGCCTCTCTCTCTTCATTTCCTGTTTCTTCAGTGAGTTATCAACAATGGCGAAAGGCGACGACGCAAGAATCAAGAAGAAGAATAAAGCCAATCGTAAGAAACTTGCTAAAGATCCTTCTGCCGTCTCTTCTCGCGTTGCTGCTCTTATTGCCGCCAAGAAGCGTCGCCAATCCGGCAAACGCCGCAACTGCCAGGTTTACTGCTTTTCTTTAATCTATTTCTTTTATTTTTCGTTTATTTGCTGATCTTAAGAAGTTCTTTTTATTGGGTGTTTATAGTTTAATTTTGTTATATTGTGAATTTACATCTTTTAGTATAAGTCTGGAATTGTTAATTTGATTTATTTTTTCCTCAAAAACAAAATTTGATTATTTTTTGATTTTGTTTTTATAGTTTAATTTTGCAATGTTGTGTTTATAGTTTAATTTTGTAATGTTGTGAATTTGCATCTTTTACCACAAGTTTTAACAAATTTATGGTCAAAATCAAATGTCATTTGTTATTTTGAAACGTTTGTGAATGAGAAAATCATCATCTTTTTGAGGTTCCGTAGATTATATGGTAATTGCTAATAATTATAAAGGAACAATTAAAACCTGTTGGGGTTTGGAAAAATTCCGGTTTCACTTTTTTCGTGTAGATAGCTTGAAGGAAGAAAATCATAGGAAAGAATGAATTCTTAGTTTCAATTTTTGGGTTTATGAGGAGTTGAGGACTAGTTGAATGGAAAAATGACATATTTTGGTGGGATGGCTTACAAGAAAGAAATGGTGAAACTCTATGAATTTAGTTAAGCTTGAAATTTGTCCATCTTCATATCCCACGCTGGATCTTGTCTTGTTTCTTGGAGTTGGAATAGGGCCAAGTCAATGACACTTCAAGGACAGAGAAAATGCAAAAAAGTTGACGACCATTGTTCAGATATTAATTCATCATTTTTATATCAATCTGCAAATGAAAGAGCTACCCAATATATACTCAAGTCTTAGAAAAGTTACGTTTTTCTTTGTTTCCTTTGTGTCACATGCAATCCTCTCCGACTAATGTGATGTACATGGATATTTGCTTCCAAGAACTTGACATCGTAGACATTAGACTGAAGAAGACATTAATCTTCCAAGTCCTGGTAGTTTGAAGCTATTGAATAACTTTATGGTAGGAATGTTTTTTGTGTGAGCACTTGAGTCATCATTGTTGGTATAATTTTGCTTATCTAATTCATAAAAACACTTATAATCTACACTGTAAGTAGATTAGGTAGAATAAACAAAGTAGGCTGGGAAAGTAGATATCATTGATAGTAGACATCTTAATGACATGGCTACATTGTAAAGTTTTGGCTTGAAGGAAGTTCTTCGTATAAGCAGATTGTCAATTGCATCCAATTTAGAAAAATGTTGATGAAATATATAAATACTAAAGAGACCAATTTGCTGTATAACAATAAAATTTGCTGTTTACGTTGCTGTGCTCTCCTCCATAATAGAAAATTATAAGTTTGTCTACTTTAGGCTGCCATAAACAACTGTGCCTTCTTAAATTTAATTTCTATCATTTTCGTAATATAAAAGAAATTACTTATGAGGCTATGAATTATCGTTTGTAATTTGAATTTAGTTCTTAAATCATAAGCTTGTTTGTCTTCTCCCTCTTTTTATTCTTTTCAAATGTTTGCTTCTTAGTCATTGCTCCCCCCTTCGGAGGGAGTGTTTGACCTTTTAATTTTTCTTGTATTTTTTTTACTGTTATTTTTATTTTAGCTTTGTGCTTTATATTTGGGATTTAGTAATTATTATACCAAAGTGTTATTGATTCTCTCTACACCATTCTTTTGATGAATGTATGTAATGTTTGGATAGCCTGCTCATTTTACATCTTTATCGTTGATTTTTAATCTTCTACTTTATAGGGCATGTGCTATAGTCTTCCCTCACCTGAGGACCCTTTCAACGAGAGACATGGAAAAGAAAATATTAGCACCAGAAAAAACAAACGGCTGCTTCCAGAAGTAAAAAACAAGGAAACCTTAAAGAAAGAAGCCAAAAAGCAACAGAAAGAAGTGCTTTGTGGTGATCAAGTGAACTTAAAAAATCAAAAGGAAAAGAAAGCAAAGCTAGGAGAAGGAGACTTCAATGATTGTACTTTAGGAAATTCTGGCTGTCCGTCTAAATTTCTTTGCTCTTGCTTGAACTCTATACGGGATTCTTTGCTTGGTGATGGCATGCTGAATAAGGAACAGGACAAACCTTTGTTTGTTGACTCATGGGGAGTTGAATTTTGGAAGTCTTATTCCACAGGTGCTGATGTATTAGAAAACAGTGGAACTAGTCCTTCTGTGCAGCAAATGGCCTGGATAGCCTCCACGGCAGCTGACAGCATTTCACAGAAGGAGAAGGATGGGGTATCCTTCTCCAACCCGTTCCTGCTATATCTTGTACCATCACAAGAGAAAGCGAATAAGGTTACTTGGCATAAATTTTTTAAATTTAAATGTGAATTTTGCAATTAACTGTTTTTTATGTTCTCATAAATTTTGCATATGTATCTATGATTTTTTTTCCCTATTATTAAGTGTACCTCGTTCAATACTATAGCACCACTTAGATACGTCTTTTTTTTCCTCATCAAACATGCTCTCTATTATTATTTATCTATTTATTTTTTCATTGGAATTATTCTTTTACTATGAATCAATGCGATAATGCTAACATCTAATGTTAAAAATTGATGTGATAATTCCTGTCATGAATGAGGAGATTGAGGACTAATGTTTAAATATTACAGCAATGTTTAATTATTACAGCGATTGTAACATATTAACATATCATGAATATGCATCCTTGCAATTTTGTAGTATGCTTTAAGTGTTAATATGGATGTAGATTTGAATTCTCAAGGATGCATTCTGTAAAGAACATGTCTTTAGTGATCTACAGCTTTGTTTTTACTCATATTTCCAAATAGCGATGACGTCTTTGTCGGCTATAGTATTGGAACTATCTTTGTGGTGAAACACATGCATATATGTATGCTAAGGGACACATCAACACTTGATTAGTTGGTTTTCACAAGACTCCATCCTCATATTTGATCTGGGTGGATACAAGGTGAAGGCAGTCCCTTTTTAACATTTAAATGGGTGAGCATTGATCCAAACAGAAGAAAAAAATGGTGTCAGGAATGGATAAATCAGCTATGTTCCTACTCTTATGGGATTAATAGCTTCTAAGTCAGAATACTTTAGGATGAACTCTAGGTGTCATAAGGTGAAAGTGATGCTTGGCAGTTAGCCATGACTGAAGAGGATGAGTTTCCCATAGTTATAATTTGGTTAAATAGATAGTTTTCAATTGAAGGGCATACCTCAATTTCTAATCATCCTTTCATGAAGTTCCTATATGCATATCTTAGCAGTCCCATCTTCATGTATTGATAAAGCATGTATAGTAATATGGCCATTTGAAGTTGATCTGTCTTGTGGCAGCTACCAAAATATGCCTCATAAGCTAGCACTGTAATTTTAAAAGTGTACCTTAGGGGTGTCCAGAGCTCTAGGTTTCTTTGGATGGAGGTAATGACGTTAATTTTTAAAATCCATCCCTATGATATGTATTTATTTAGACCTGTTATCTTATCGACTGAAGTAGAAGAAACTCTAAAATTTCAATTTAAAACCGATATTATTATATTTTTGCAGGAAACATGATGTAAATACTCAATTTTGTTGTGCTTTGAGTTTGCAAATGTGTGTGCATGTGCCTCATGCCTCAGATCTTAGGATCGTTTGCAGTTTTGCACCTCTATAGGCCTTGTGCTTTTAAAAAAAACTAAGATTTATTTGGTCATGTTAGGTGATTTTTAAATTAAGACTTCAGTGCATCAGCATATACCACCTGCCAATACAGGCAGCCCATGTATATGACACATCTGAATATCATGGCCGTGTTTTAGCACACACTGGATTACACTTCAGTGCTCAAGCTTGGGAAAGTTGATTTAATCACTCTTGATCTAGTCTTTTGGTTAATTTTTTTGATGGTAAGGCTTAGTGTTACCCGCTCCTCACGAACCAATCCCATCTCTTGCAGAGTTGGTTGGCCATCTAGAATTGCTGGCTGTTTGGGGTGCGAATAGCTGAAAATGCAATTTACTTGATCAAATTGACTATCTAACATACAGTTGATAATGTAATTGTCTCATATGGAATATTGATCTATTCGAAAATACTTCAATTATCACATTTCAGATCTAGGATTTCATCTCTATAAGCAATCAAGACAATAGGGTTTTAGTTCACAATCGTAGTTTTCCGCCTTCCCTCTTCAAGTCACTAATTTTTCATTTTTTGGGTACTTGCAATCATTTTCTACTTTGTGTGTGTGTGTGTGTGTGTGTGTGTGAATCACTTTTTCCAATTTAGTTTCATTGCCTGCCTTTTGTGTGGTTTCTTTAATTTCTGTCGTGCTTCTGTTCTCTTTTGTTTGTGGCAAAATTATACTTCCAAACACCATGAACCTATGGTTGCTCTTATCTTGTATTCCAATTTGGAAGGTTTAAGATTCTAAGCAGTTACTACTGCAAATTTGTATATGGGATATAAATTAATGTTCTTGCAGGCTACTAAAAGACAATTTAGTCTTCTCTCCTGATGCACAGATTGTCTTCTTTAAGGTCTTGTAAGTTTGCTTTACTTTGATTTCTTTTGTGTTCTTTCAGGTGCGTTCTGTGTGCAAGCCTTTAAAAGCTTTCGGCATACACACAGTGAGTTTACATCCTGGTACTTCAGTGGAGCATCAAGTTCAAGGGTGTGTCTGAAATCTCCATTCTTTTTGCATTTCATACTCTTGTGTTGTAGATGTTACTGGTGTAAAACTGTAAACATCTGGATCTGGTCAATAGGCGCTTGTGCTTTTATGCCATTTGATCAGCTTGATGTAGGCAGTTATATTTGCCAATATTTTATCTATATCCTATAACCTGGGAGTAACTTCCTGGAAAATATAGAAGCTATTTTGTTGACTACAGATATCTGTGCTTCTTGTGGAAAGCTTAAATAATCTTTTTTTTTGGGGGGGGGGGGGGCTAGGTAAGGAAAATTTTCTCATTTTTGAGAAGTTGAATGACCATATAACTCTGAAGGTTTATACTACCAAGAAATTGTTGCTGTGTAATCTTATGTCGACCTCTAATGTCCACTAACATAAAACTATTTTTAAATTTAAGAGGTCTCTCAATCATCACACTTTTTTGAAATAGGAGACTCAATGTGAAAAACAAATCTAGTCCTAGGTGCTTGGATTCTGGATTGAGTGTCATGTATTGCAAATTTGCAATTCTAGCTTTATAAATTCGTTGATCTTTGGTTTCTCATGATAATTATCCTTCTTCTGCAGCCTAAGGAGTTGTGAACCTGAAGTTCTTGTAGCAACGCCTGAACGCCTGTGGGAGCTTGTTTTGCTAAAGGCAGTTGATATATCTGGGGTTTCTTTGCTGGTAAATTTTTAAAATTTTCAGTTTATTTAGCAAGGCATATGTTGTGCTGCTGATTGCTGCTTTCTTAAGTTGTTTTTCTGTTTTATTATTGGCATTTGTAACCCATTTGATTGAGAAGATAGGGGTAGGAAGGTAGGGAGGGGAAATTGGTAAAACTGGAAGACTAAAAAGGAAGGACAGTAATATGAGAGTTGTGCATGTAGTTTTCAGTTTAATATTCTTTGCGTGTGTCCATTTGCCCACACCACAAAAAAGGATACATATCCTTCTTAGCTGGACACAGTGTAGGTGTGAGGCTTTTGTTCTTTTCACCTTATTCAAGGTGTTCTTATCTGATCTATTCAAGTTTTGGTTTGTTCTTAATCTTTCTAGTCCAGATTTCTCTGATTATTGATGTTTGGTTTAACTGGTTATCTTTATAATTTTGTATGGTCTTGTATGCTTTATACAAGATAAGTAATACTACCTCTGCCTCTTTTTTGGGTAACACATTTTGGTTTTTCCACTATTCAAAAACTTTACTTTGACTAGTTTTTCGATTTATAGATGATAAAAATAGTCATGTAGGATTTTGTTAGATTCATCTCAATATGTAATTCCAAAATATCAACGTCTTATAATCATACATAAAGATATCAACACTAGAATTTTGCATTGGCAAACATGATATAAGAAACTTCTCAACTAAAGACGAATGAAGTAAGTGATAAGAATAGAGAAGTCATGGCAGCCTTCTCCTTATCCCACTAATCATAAGGATGATATATGGGTTGTTTTTGTTGTGCTATGATGGACAGAGAGGCATAGGTTGAAGAAAGTTTAAGTTTAAAAAATGTGAAATATCCTGTTACCCTGTTGGGATCAAAATGTTCCTTCAAGTCCAAGTGCAAATCTTTTTATTCATTTTTTGTTTTTATTTATTTTTTATTTTTTTTGGTTGCATTCATGATTCCAGATATTGCTAGAAATGATTTGGCCAGTATGAGGAGTCATTTGAATCAAATTGAACAAGATTAGAATCTGAATTTTCAAACTGGGAATTATCTGGTTGAGCATTAAGGCTGACCAAAATAGTGACGTATTGACAGTGTAATGATAAGATCAAAAAGATTGTAGTTTATAATATTATGACTCTGGGTCTAACATATTATGCATGAATAAATCATCTTACTACATCATCTAATCTTGCTTTTAATTCCTCCCTTCTGAAACTTCTGATTATTGATAAGTTAAAAGTATTATTTGTTGCCAAAGTGTGAGGTAGTTCGGTAAGTTAATAAGCAGAAGGTATCCTTGTATGATTTGAAGAATAGGTAGTAGCAAAGATTATAAAAGAACCAAGATTCTCACTAATTCTGGCTGTAATTGTCATCTCATGGGCAGGTCAACTAGATATCTAGTAATCTTAATGCAGGAGAATGTTTTATTATTAAAAAAGAACATGGTAATAATAGTTTTGATCTAAAAATTTCTCTCTCGCGGAGTTTTAAGGGAAGAGGGGCCCTCAGCTAGCCATTCCACAAATTGACAGTGTCCCAGTCATTCTTTTCTGCTGTTTAGATTTTATACAACAAAAGCTTCTGCATGCAAGGAATAAATCGCCATGATCTTACTTTCACCCTCTGATAGTTTATTTCCATATATGATTCTAATTCAGTCCACTTTACGAGTGATGCTCTAAGAATAAATGGCTCTAGAGTTTGGGAATGAAGACAATGCTTTGTGGAAGATCATTTAGCTCATTGTGGTGTTGATAACTTAGGATGGTGTAAGAGGCCTAATAGTTCTTCTTGTGGTGTAGGAAAATAGAAATCCATTTCAGGTGGATTATATAATATGTCGTTGGTTGGTTTTAAACCTGAAAGTATTTCAACCACTAAAAGCTCAATTGCAAGATTTGCTAAGATTTAAGGAGGTCAACGTTTCCAAGTTGTTGGTATGGAATTTTAAGTAGAAACATTGGAATGCTACCTTTTGAGGTTTACTAATTACTGGGAAGAAGATTTAGTCTCGAGGCTTTTAAAATGACTATGTGTTCAAGAGCTCAGGGAAAGAGGATGAGATGGTTTGGTGTCTTAGTAAGAGTCACTAATCATTATGGGATGTCCTTAGAAAAGGAACCTTTGTCGTTGCAATTTTTGCTTAAAGAAGAATATTCTGTTATACATCTTCTCCTCTTTTGCTGTTTTGCCTTAGGGCTCATTCTCTTTGGCACTCGTCTTTAACCTTGTTTGGATTAAGCTGGATCCAACTAGATATACATGTTGCCCAGAAAATAAGTATGATACAAGATTGGCTTGATGAAGGAAAATAAGTATGAACAAACTTGGCTTGACGAAGTGTAGAAATTTTTATTTTATTTATTTCATTTATTTATTTTTTTATTTTTTTGAGGGAGAGGATGAATGTGTTGGTGCACTTGGAAAAATGGAAATAAATGCCATTGGAGGACTTAGCTTCTACTTATCAAGGTTTTAAGTTTTTGTGTAGCTGGAGCCAAGTTTTAATGCCCGAGCGTCAATTGACTCAATATTGTAGATGAACAGCTCTATGAGACCTTTTAGGCATGAACCTTTTTTTCCTGAACCCTCCCTCATACATGAGTGACACCTCTGTGATTATTAATGCAATTCTTATTTCTTGCCAAAAAGAGAGCCTATTTAGCCTTTTATCATGTGATCTCGTCAGGTTTAAATTTACTTCGATATTTCAGGCCGGGGATAAACCGAAGAAGTTGACCAAAGGAATTTCTACTTTAAAACATGCTGCTATTTGGCATCATAGACTACTTGCCTAGAAGCAGCATTTTAAATTCTGTTTTTTACATTTCTCTTGCTAATAATTAAAATAGGTTAGAATTCCATGTTATTTATCTTTTTAAATTACTCCAGACCTTTTTTTTGTTTTAAGGAATTGTACTCTTTGGGGAAAGTCATTTTGCTGTCATTTTTTTTTTCCCATCATCTTGTTGATGAGTTCCAGTTTCTACAAGTTGTTTCCATGCGTTTCTATGCCTTACTGACTTTTCCCCTTTTATTGAACAGGTTGTAGATGGAATGGACTCTGTTTCTCATTGCCTTAATGTGGTAAAATGCATAAAAAAGTCGATTATTGGAAAGCACTGCATAATGGCTTTCCAGGGTCGCTCTGATGGTTCCTCTTCTAAAGCTGTACAGAGTATTCTTAGGAAACCCTATCATTCTTTATCTCTGGATGGACCAAAGAAGAGCCAAGGTATTTGAACTGATTGTTGAATTTTTGTAGTCTGAGTAACAACAGTCTCAAGTCGGATTTAAGATTACTTAATGCATCTTGGATTAGATATTGCAAAAACCAATACAAGGTACCATCCTAGAAAACAAGGAAAAGGGCTGGAGAACACATTTGTGCAACATAGCCATCAAGTTGTGCTTGGTTGTAGTGGCGAAGCTTGTGGTTTTATACTATCCTAATCAAAACGTTTAGCCTTGAGGACAATTGATGTATTTTTCAATTAGACTGCTTTAAAACAGGTTCGATGAAAATTCTATTGAATTACTATTTGTCATTTGTATTCCGTTCATTTTTTGAAGTAATGTCGTTGTGCCAAAAGTTTTGTAGTTCACGCAGGCTTTAAGTCAGTTTGCTTTGTTGGTAGATATTAGAGTTGATCTATCCCTGACATTTATGTGAGAAATTGAGAATGTTAGAAAGATCATTAAATTAGTTAACAATTTGTATAAGATCCTCATTCATCCAAAGATAACATTTTTATAATGTTTGAGGTTAACAGTTGTATAACATCCTCATTCATCCAAAAATAACAGTTTTATAATGTTTGAGGTTGATAAATCGTCAATTTGCTCACTTTACTGAATTATGTATTGTAGAATTTCATCTCTTTCGTAGTAATTCAAAATATACTATCAACAGTATTTGTGCAGGCTTAATTCGTACCTATTTAATTGTTCTTGTATAGTTGTATGACCTCTTCTTCCGTGTTTGTGTTCTTCTAATTAGCTAGCTTCTCGTCTGCCACCAATTACGTTGATCATGAAAAAAGGGAAATTTTTTATTTAATATAAAGCAGCTGAGATTAGATGTCAAGAAGCCGAAGAATTTAAATTTGACTAAGATACTGAATACGACTAAGTGTCTTTTATTTTATTTTATTTTTTAGTTTTGGTAAAAGAAAAATGCGACTGGTTTAGTAACGTGTAAGGTGGCAACTCTGGTAAGTGCCTTGTGATTGTGAAAAGGGTTATAAGGCGAAGCTCCGTAAGTACTTAATGAACTTCGAATTATAAACCTTGAATGTTATATCTCTATTATATAAGCCAAGAGAGGAGAACCAGTGAAAAGTTGGTGTCTAATTTTTAAACTATCAAATTGCCCTAAAAAAAAAAAAAAAAAAAAAAAAAAAAAAAAAAGAGAAAATTTTCAAATTACCACCCAAAAATTAAAGCAAAAAAAACATTTGCAAAATATGTTAATCAATCAACATTCAACTTTTCACATAATCAACATTTTTGCCTCACATTTTAAATTTCTATAGTCATACAAATACTTAAATAAACCTAGTCCACAATAAGTTTATTGTAGACCAACTACCTCTCACGTGCGTGTGGAGGAGGCAACAAAATTTCAGACAACTCTATTTACTCCGTATTTATTACTCCTCCTTCAACCTTTTTTACCCCTCTTTTTATTGTTTTCCCTCTTTTTAGCACCAGTCAATTTCTCTCTCTTCAACTTGTCAAAAAAAAAAAAAAAAAAATTTCTCTCTTCAAACCTCCTCTTCTGCCACTTTCTCTCTCTTCATAACTCAAATTCTCTCTCTTCAATGTACAACTATAACTTCAATATTGCTCAATTTCTTCTTTAATGGCCAAAACAGAAACGGTGGAGTGTGTATGAGTAAAAGAGGTCTTCGGTTATCAGAATCAAATCGCAATAATCAACCAATTCCTGGTACAATTTTTGTTTCTAAGTTAATTTTTGTACTTTTATGCTGATTAATTTTTTTTTTCAATTGAAGCTATTTGCATGATTTTTTGTTTGAATTTTGTTTCTTATTGAAGATTTTGTGAAGATCTAGGGTTTCATTTTGTTCAATTCATGTGTTTATTTGTATTTAAGTTGAATTTTGTTATTAATTAGTTATGTCATTCTAATTTGATGTTGATTTCATAAATCAGTAGTTGCTTACTCGTATTTGATTTCCAGATTTCTATATGTGTGTGCATTTTGTTCAATTGTTGCTTAATTTCTGTTTAAGTTGATTTTTTGGCTTTTTTGAAAGTATTTGTTTTGGCTTTTTACCTTCAATTTCGTCTGGTATATACAAATTGGGTTTGATTTTTTTTTTTTTCAATTCGTGATTAATTGTAATTAATTTCAATTTCAGTAAGTATGAGAATTAGCTATATAATTAATTTATTTAAGATTTTGATTTTGTATTTGGTTAAGGCAGAAAAAGGCGAAGAGGGGAAGAAGAAGAAGGTTGAACCGTTGAAGAGAGGAAGAAGAAGGCTATAAAGGCACCTCAAGACAAGACTATGTATTAGCATAAATGCTACTCGTACAGACGTACATTCCAAAATATGAAAGAGTAGTAAAAAGAGCTAGATTTTTTTTAAAAAAAAAAATAATAATAAGATATCTATGTTATAATAAAGGTGACTATGTTAATAATAGGGTATCTATATTTACAGGTCATTATAATATCAAAAAGGACATTATGTTATAATTAAGGTCATTATGTTAAAATTTTACTCCCTCCGTTTTTAAATACTTGTTCCATTTCTTCATGCGCGGAATTTAGAAGAAAATGGAGAAAGTAATAAAATATGATGGTAGTGGGGTAGTTGAGAAAATAAAAAATTGTAAAAATCACAAGTAGTAGAAGAATAAGAGGAGAGAGAGTATTATGTTGGGTCCACTAAGTATGAGAAATGAATTAAATATTGTAAAAGCCTTTCAAAAAAGAAAATGGAGCAAATATTTAAAAACGACCAGAAAAAGAAAGTGAAGTAAGTATTTAAACACGGAGGGTGTATGTTTATTAGAGATGAATAGCTGACAATAAGGAATTATTAAATATAGATGTTATTTTGCATTTAAGATTTTAAGATAACATCTTTATAAAAAAGATCAATAAAAATTAAAAAAAAAAAAGATATAGAGTAAATAAAGGTTACTATGTGATTATAAAGATAACTATATCAAATTAAACCGTTCTATTATGTAAAAAGGTAACCATGTACCATCTAAATTTTTGTTGAGAGAAGAGTGAAAAAATTTCGAAATTATGAAGATGATACTGCATTGTTCGTGATGTGTATAAAATTGGAAAAGATGAAGACCCTAATTTCGTCAAGCAATATCAAGGGCAGAGGAGAGAGAAAATGCAGTAGTTGGTTTTTTTTATTTTACTTATTATTATTATTTTTTTTTGAGAAAATGCAGTAGGTGGGTTTGGGGGTTTAAAAGGGGTTTATTTGCATGTGGGCTGTTTGTATGGGCTTTGGACTGGGAATTGTTTTGTGGCACGTGAGACATCTTGGTCCACAATAAATTTATTGTTATTATTGAGGATCAGATCCACCCAAAATTTTCTGCTATAGTCATATGTTATCTATATTATTATTAAAACTCCAGGTAAGGGGTGCTTTTTCGCCATGTGTCAAATTTTTTGTTTTAATTCGCCACATCATTTCTTTTCAACATATAAACTTGCCACATAAGCAATTCATGTTAATGATGTTTCAATCTATTATATAATTGTAGAGTTTTTTTCCAACTTTAATTCACAGCACTCTAATTCTTGAATGGAGCAATTCTATGCATTTTTTTTTTTTTGATAACTTCTTCTCCAACTTCCACTTTTTTTTTTTTTTTTTTGTTTTTTTTTTGTCAATAACTTTTAATTCTCTAAATTTTAGATACAAAAATAAATAAATAATTCACTTTCACTTTTACTATTTTACAATACAATATATATCTCCACATACAATTCATTGTAGCACTCAAAATCCCCAACATTTCACTTATTTTTTATTTTTTATTTTACTATTTTACAATACAATATATATCTCCACTGTAACACTCAAAATCCCCAACATTTCACTTTTTTTTTAAAACACTACGTACTAAAATTTCACCTTTGTTTTACGAGTATTTTTTTGGTACATAGTATAATACATGTCATGCATTACCACGAGTATACAGTTTTGTTATCAAACATTCACTATAGTACTATAAATCCCCGACCCTTCAATTATATGCATTTTTTTAGGGACTACTCTACAAACGTTTTCCGTTTCTTTAATCATCAAAGGCAAAAAAAAAATGTACAACACGTTTTTGTGGAACTAGCCTCAGCGAATAACTACTTGCAACAGAACAAAGTATGTAACTTCTACAGCAAGACACTAACTCATATGACACTAACCGAGTAACATGAGTAACCCTTATAACACTAAACGAGTAACTGCTATAACTTTGAAAAAGTAAACTTCAAAATAGCATTGCGTGACCACCGACATAAAAGAGTAAGACCCTGTTTTTTTTTTTTTTTTTTTTTTTTTTTTTTCTTCTAAGCAATTAAAGCATAGAATATTATATTTCAGCATAGCACAGCAGGTGTCATCAATTATTAATGCGATTATTAAAAAAGCTAATTAGGGTTCAACAGAACCGACCAGTCCAAAACCGACCATTACAGCTCAGTCTAAATTACGACATCAAAATCAACTTTTCATATTTAAAATATATTTTTTCTTATATATCCCGTGCATTTTGCACGGGTACACTCTAGTTATTAGTAAAAAAAAAGTTTTTCCAATTTTCAACGTTTGTAACCGACAATATTTATAATGGTTTTAATTATTGGTCTAAATGAATTATTATATCATTATTGAATGCTTGAATTAGAGCAATTTGTAAATTGTAATCGATGATCAATTGTCAATCAATTGGAATTCTACAACTGAATAATGAATGGGTGAGTTATTAATGAGTGATTAGTTACAAGTTCATCACTATAAATAATAAAACTCAAATTATGATCGTTGGAAACAATCACTAAGTCTGGCCTCTTAGAACAAGTTTTTTAGGTGAGTATTTTGATTTCTTATTTGTATACAACCTTATTTGTCTCGACATGCAATAGGTGAATTTTTTTTTTTTTATTTTTTTTTTTTATTTTTTTTTGTATTCATGTTATTATACATTTATTGATGCAAATAAACTTTAGCCTATATTGGTTTACACTTCTTTCACAAACATTTTTGTTTCGGGGTTTTCTGATGTCCTGCGGGAGAGTTACAATTTCGAGACTGGAACCGGACGCCTGTACCTGCAAAACAACGGAGACTCCTAGTGGTGGGAGCTCCGCCTCCAACGGTCAAGTTAGTACTTGATTAAGGAGTAATTAATGCGGAAATTAAAGTGATTGGGTCTCTCTTGGTGAGAGTGTTTAATGTAGGTAATCTGCTTTGTTAGCGTGATCAGCCTGTTATTCATGTGTAATCTCCCTTAATGAGGATTAAGGGAGGTATTTATAACCTTGGGAAACGTGCCCATCCTAGGTTTAGGTCAACCTAGGGCTGATTGGGCTTCCCTCGGAAGTTGGGCCTGGGTGGCCGGTTTCTCCATTAGGCATGGAGTATGCCACACGTCATGACATAATAGGTCCAAGGTGGACGAATAAGCGTGTGCCACGTGGCAAGCCCTGACAGTTCCAACTGGGGGACACTTGGCAGGACCTGATTGGCCCACGTGGCGCATTCCGATTGGTGGGAGCAAAATCCCCTAATCATTTGCCCCTCACAGGTGGCACGTGACTGGTCACGTGTTATTTGTGACAGGTGCCGCACTGTAACAGGCGACGACCTGCCACAGGTGTCACTCGGCGAAAGGCCGAGAGATTCTCCCGCCCAAATTTTGAATTCTGAAAGGGACCCTTCGCCTTCTCACTTCGCCTATATAAAGGAGTGTTGACTTCAGTCATTTTCACACTTGAGAACTTTGTGAGAGAACATTCGGACCCCTGAACTTGCTCTGACATTTTGGACCCTTTCTGCCTACCGCCTGCTCTGACAAGCCGACTGCACAGGATTTTCAGAACTCCATCAACGTCACTCGTTCAGGTAACCGTCGGTTCTCTTACTCTTAATTTTCTCTTTATTTTATTATTTTTGAAATGGCACCACGGAAGCACACGACACGACCTAGGTTAGTGATCAGCCGGTCACCGGGGACGGCTGAATCTAGGACTAGGAGTGCCGCCTGCCCTTTTCTGGACCCATCTTTGCCCTTTATACAAAGTCCGACTGTATCTGTGTCTATGCAGAGCATGATGGCCAGGACAAAAAAGACTGCCAGGATCTCAAATTCAGACGGCTCCTCCCACAGGGTGCCGATTAGTGAAACATCTGACCAGGCGCCAGATGTGGAAGTGAAACAAAGCGGCTTGAAAGCCGGCTGTTCTGAGGGAGGAATCAAAGTGACCCCTTCCCATTTCACAGTTGACAATTCTTCATTCTCTCCTGCTCCTTTTAAAGGAGAGGAGGCGGGCCCCTCCGGGAGAGGGGAGGAGTCGTCCTCTTCGGACTCGTCAGAGGACGATTCCGAGTCTAGCTCTTCTGGCCATGCTTCTCTGGACACAGAAGAGAAAAACAGTCGCCTGCAAGAGGCGAGGCTTTCTCACGCAGTTGAGAAGGGGGGCAATTGGGCGGAGCCATCCGCCTCTTACCGAGAGCAAAATACCCCCTACTACTGCACGGTACCTCGGGGCCGGATCACGGCCATGCAAGAGAAAGTGGAGAGCTTTATCGCAAACCACACAATGGGCCACGGCTTTTTAGTGTTTGTGCCGGATCCAGAAGACACAGTCGTCTGGCCAGCTGGTACCAGTGATGATAGCGCCTGCTTTGGCTGCTACGAGGCGGCCATCAAGGCTGGGCTGC